CGTAAGTTCGACACTAAAAGGCCTTCATAATCTTTAGTATTTAGTACCAATAAATCCAGTTTTTGACGCGCTTTAGTTTGATATAAAATACATTTGTGATATCATTGATACTTTAGGTTATCTAGAGGGAGGCAAAGGTTATGTGCCACCCTGTACGGAGCCAGTCTCATTAAAATTAGAAAAAAAAACACATTTCTGAAAACATGGGAAAAATGCGTATTTTTTCTTTCTAGTTTCAATGCGTTTGAGAAAAGAAACGCACATTAACCTAGCCAAAAAATTCCAAAAGCTTGTTCGATGTGTATCGATTGGAGATTCAGATTTTTCATAGTCGATTATTTTGTATACAACAAATTTTGGATAGAGAGGTGCTTCTTTTTAGAAAAAAATTTACGATGTCGTTTAGCCTTGGGTTCCCTTTATGGACTTCTTTTTAAAAAATTACTGGGGAACAATGTAATGAAGAAAATTTTTTCAGAAGTGTCTCACTTCGAAATTTACTGCATACAAAATACTTGATTATGGAAAATCTCACAAACTGAAGTTAAACATGGCATTTCTTTCTGTTTGCGAGAAGAACAAGTTAAAATACCATGCTTTATCCATAAGTATCGTGTTCTCTACCGTTTTCTTTCTAAAAAAATATAAAATTTATTTTTTGAGACTGATCCCAAGGAAAATTTGAAATATTTGTCAATAAATCGCTCATTTAGAATGTAGAGAGTCCCAAAATCAAATATGCCGATTTGTCATTATATACGGATTTTTTCAATATCTCTACATATTTAATTACCAGACAAGAATCTGCCACTATTTCATGGATCTTATTCTCCGCCTGATTTTCTCTATTTAGAAAGTGTCCTGGATAGTTTGTTCTCATTATACTCGATGAATTTTGTTGATATATCATTGGTAAAATATCGTTTAAGGTCAATTGATAATCGTTGATTACCGTTCTACAATGAAAATGATAATGTTGTTCATAAATATTTCTTACAATCGTTTATTTTACTTGACAAGATTTTTGTTGTACTTGAGTATTGGACGAGTGATACGAATGTATCTTGTTTCCTTTGGTACTCGAAGAATTGTATCAGATTGAGCAAATTTGTGAGGACAAATAGAGGTCTAAAAAAACACAATATTATTTCTTCTCTTCATTAAATATTTTCATTAAAAAACATACTTTCTCTGCACAACTGTCACAATAGTTGGCCATTTCTAATTCGATCCACGCACGTTTATCTGCTGCCGTATATAACATACACGAAAATCGACTAAGTATACGATCCTGTGATGCATATGGAATCTGATCAGTTTTACGAGATGATGATAATTCATAAGCATTTTCTAAACCATTCAACAACGATTTATCTGCAATAAAACTTTATAGCAAAAAACTTTGTCCATTTCAGAACATTAGCTACAGTACTTCCTGTCATTTTTGCACCGGCAAATACAACCGACGCTTTTCTACTTCTAAAATATGAAATAAAGAGTTCTATACAGATTTAACGAGTTAAAATTTTTAACTATTATTACTTTGTATCTTCACTTTCCTTAATTGTAATCATTTCTAATTTTTCTTCGAGACCTTTACGATGACCTTTCATTATGTCTAATTCAGATCGTAATTCTTTGATTGATTGAATATATTTTGTTTTTTCATCATTGATCTACTTTATTATAAGGTTTTTGATATATCCCACTATTTTTATTTTGTGCTGATAAAATCTATCATACCTCATTCCAAATATATTGAGATTCTAGTGACATTGAAAGAGTATCTATATTTGACCTATCACGATAGAGTTTCTGATGTTGATGATCCAAAAATTGATCATATTCTTAACAGAAGTAAGACTTTGGATATAATAAATTTATACAAGCAAATTTGAAAATACCTTCAGTGCTCATATTCAATAATGTTAGAAGTTGATCTTCCATTCGATTGGCCACTTTGATGTCAAGCATAATTTGATTCTTAACAAGTATATATGAATTTAGAAAACTAATTTTGCTTTCGAGTCATTCATACTTTAACATCAACATTTAAATCATCAGAAATTTTAACGGCATTCGACTGTCTCAGCTTGACATTTTCAGAAAAGGCTATAATATAAAGAAGGGATAATTGAATTGTTTCTGTGGTTATTATAGGTCGTCGCAAAACAAATAGTTGCAGTTACTCAAAGTTATTTTTATAAATGGTTTATGTGTCGTCAAAACGTTAACACAAAGAATCAATGATAAATTGTAGAACAGAATCATCGTGTCAAGGCTATGCGACAAAAGTCGCTTGTCCTAAAAATGATACATCAATGATCCAATCATTTTAAAAAAATTTATTTGGGTGATTTTTCAAACAGCAACTTAATAATTCAAGTTTAATAAATATTTTTCAACTAGCAGGAATAAAATTTTGAAGTTTTATTTGTCTTTGATTTAACTGTCGAGTCTGGTACGCGCCGTCTCTGTTCACTAATTCATTTATTGGTATAATAAAAAAAAATTTGTGCACAGCTGGTGAGAAAAATAAAAATAATTTAAACCATCTACACATTCAAAATGATAAATCCAACAAACTGAATTCTAAACCAGTTAAATTTTATCTATACCAAGACCGTTCACAAGTAGAATCATCCGAATATTTTTTACTATAATGATACAAATTTAGACTGTTGTCAATGACTATTAAATTATGAGACTGAAAGATATTCTTTATTTAAAAAAACATGCATACCATCCGATTAATTTAAATATATCCATTCGAAATAATTTGATATCAAAAAGTATGGTTAGAACAAAGATCTAATCTGATAAAAATCTTGTTTCACGAAGAAAAATGCCAAAAGTACGTGGAAAACGCTTAACTAGAAAAATCTGGCGTTCAATAATGGCAAAAAATCAAATGAATAATAATTTAAATGCAACGACAACATCCTTGTCAATCAATTTCAACAACAACAGTATAAGTTCTTCAAACGCTTTATTAACTAGTGGGAATTCTTCATCAATATGTTACGATGACATATGCAGAGCAACGAATGAAACAACTTCAAACACCAATAATAGTAGCCGAGTTATGGCACAAAGTGGAAGACAAAAACGATGTGAATATTTTGATCGTACTTACGATAACTGTACAACAGCAAACGATAATAACTTTAAGGAAATAATAGCCACGAATGAAAACAGTGATATGAAAAACGAACAACAGTGTGTTGTCGTTAATCCGGCTGTACTTCGATATTTAGAACAAAATCGTAGTTCCGGTTATCAACGTAGTGATGGTGATAATACATCGACAGAACTAAAAAATTACATTTCATCAGTGCTAACAACATCGGGTAAGTTATCAGCGACAAATACCACTGCAACAGGAGATTTCAATAAACTACCACAACGATCATCGGCAACACCAGCAAAATTGTGGCTATCCGATGTCGTATCGGACAATAGTTTGTTTACGAATAACGATACAAATTCATCACCGCCATTGATAACATCATCACACGCATTCTTCGACATACTCAAAAGTTTTTCCTCAAGGAAAACAACTGCACCTTGTGAAACATTGACGAAAAGAGCAACTATTGAAGATAATTCCTATACTAGTAGTAACATCTTCTCCATGCAAAATCAACAGCCACCATCATCTTCCTCGACACAACATAGTCAGATCCATCATTCAACAACGTCACTAGTAAATACCAAACATTTTTCAACAGATATTAATAGCATAGAAAATATGTTTGATCGATCCATTGAAAATGCTACCAGAGCGGTTGTTAATGCGCCCGTTTCAGTAATACCGACTCACATTCATTATCATCACTATTTACAACAGCTACAATATATTCCACGAATAAATAAAAATGAAATACTAGAATTAGATAAATTAGTTCAAGATGACTTGTTTTGGGATTTTTGTTGCTCAAATGACTTCATAACGAGTTCAATGTTAGTTGAATATATATTATCAAAAGAAAAAAAATATGCAGCAAGGAAAAAGAATGTGGATGATAAAGAAAAGAAGGCACAAACAGATACAAATATTATCTAATCATTGAATGAAATATTACGAACGAACCACCTATATCTGCTGATATCTGTGAAACGTTATACTATACAACGGTAAAAATCGAAATCGAAATGAGTTACAGGTTGTAAATACTAGAACAAAACCTCTTGCTCAGTTTTTTGTTAATTTGTTGAATATTTATATTATAACAGTGATTTAGTTTAAACTAATACTAAAGTAGTAAATGACAAAACGAATATTCTGGTGAAACTGGAAAAAATAAGACATGAACGACAAGTAGAAATCATCAATTGACCGTATTTCATTAAAATAAAATAAGGACAGTTACTTTCTACGTTGTCCTTAGCAACAGAAAAGCTCAACCCTTGGAAATTTGAATTGGTCCTTACTACGTTCGCAGTCATCGAGACTGTTTTTCTATTACTTTTCTCTCAATTAAGTTGAGAATATATAAGTAGCGTATCATCAAAACAAATAGATGATAAAATTCTAATGTGTATCAAGAGAAAATAATTTTATTATCAAAATTCTCTATGAATTACGAAAATTTACTGTGAGTAAATTTAAAGAGGTAGTTTACGTTTTCAAGGTTTGAACGTCTCTGTAACTAAGGAACGATTGTAAAACAAGTTCATTGAGTACGATGTCAAGTTTAAAATATCAAAATAATCAATGATAACCAAAATTATAACTCTCGGTAACTGATACGTCTTTTATCTTCTCTTTCACACAAAAATATATAATTAGACGACGGTCTACGCTATCTCGTCAGACAAGATGTTTTAGTAAAAAGATCTACGGTTTTTTTCCTACTAAAATTTTTTATTCGATCCAAACAAAATACATAATAAACACATAACGCTGTTATTACCTGTTTGCATGTCGTCATAACCTTTTTTATATTTCATTAGGTCATTAATAAGTCGTTCAGCATCCGCATTCGTCTTCTAAACAATTCAATTACACATGTACGATTGAAATAAACTACTTCGCCTATTTCTACCATCAATCTTGTATGTTCTTCTCTCATTTTTACAATTTCATTATCACAGTTAAAACGCATTCGATCACAGTCGTCTCGATATCTAAATATTATAGACACAAGTAATTATTCGCTATCTAAATTAAACGACTGATACTTTTGAATTTCCTGTTCCATATTGGTTAAATTTGATTTTAAATTCATTATTTCATTGTTGAGTCGTTTGCTGGTTGTTTCGAGATTTGTCATTTGTTCTTGTGCCTGATTTAAATCACGATTTTTTTCTGCCAAACTATGATAAACAAAATAAAAAAATAAACAACGATATAATATAAAACAAATTAATCTGTCACTTGTTTTCTAGATCAGATAATTTATTTTCATAGGCATCATTTTCTTGTTGATTTTTTTCCGTTAAACGTTGACAAAGTACTTTATACGATAATCTTTCAAGACATGCTATGCGTTGTTTACGTCTGGTTTTTGTTAACGTTGTTTTATCTACAGTAAATTGATTACTGTAAACAAAATCTGAAAATAAATAGAAAAGTAAAATAATTAATATTTATAAATGTTTTTTTAGCATAACTATTATAACTTACCAAATAGTTCATTTCTAAGTTTTGTTGCCACAGTTGAAAAGATGCCCAATTGTGGAAGAATTTGATCAAATGCGTTAAATACAAGCACCATACGCTCGTCAGTTAGACCATTTTGTTCAATTTCTTTAATTGCGATGTCAAAGCTGATCGCTAATGACGAAAATACGAAATTGATCACTTGCAAATAAATGCATCTTGTTAAAGAAAACATTACTTGGCGATGCTTGATCGAGTATGTCAAACTGTGAACTCATATTTGTCATCTAAAAGAATTGTAAAAAACAACAGAGAATTAAACATAGAATTTTCTGTCCATAAAACAAAAGAATCACTAGATTGTGCAGTCAACAGTAATACTTCAAGCATATGTGTACTATACAGTCAACGACTGCGTTAATCTTTCAGAATTGGTTATGTTTTGTTTACCCTTACCTTCTTCCAGAAAAGTACTATCCAATTTTCACTTTCCTAAATTTGAGCCATGTAATTTTAGTTTGTCTATTTATTTGTTCTGTTTTGTGAACAAATAAATAGACAAGGTTAGTGTGTTTTATTTCGTATTAAATTTATATCTTAATCTAGTTTTTTATCTGATTTTCACACGTTCTTGGTTATTTGATTATATGTTTGGTGTAACTCATTACGTTAAAGATCGAGAACTATCATTTTCTGTGCCTTAGTCCTACTAACAAGAGAACGACTTTAATGTACAAACGCTAAAATTCACTTCTACCAAGTTCTCAATCTTGTACACAATATGTTTCAAAGAATGAAAAAAGCTAAAAAATGTGCATGCGATCTTTTTCTAGTTTAAGGCAGGAAAAATGTATTTTTGAGTGCTCTTTCAACGTCTGTGAGTTAATGAATCAATTTATCATATTATTTATTTACCACCACGTTAATTCTGTGACTGTCTTTGTAGTTCAGTCAGGCTAAGCACACAGCGATTAGAATACTGTGACTCTTCATACTAACGTTGTGTGCCTAACTTTAGCGCACAGCGTATTTTAACCGTTTTTCGAACTTCTTCGACGCCATTCGCGTTTCTGTCACCATTGGAACAGCCTCCATTTTGTATATTGTTTGCGTGAGTGTGTGGAGATATTCCGTAAAATATTAGAATCATACTATTATATGTACGAGCTTCAAAATTACTAAATTTACTTTATTTTCTCTTGTCCTAATTTTTAGCTGATATCCGATGATTCATTATTATCATCCTTGTGTTATAGTATTAAGTTGTTCAAAAACAAAACAACATGTTTTTCTCAAGAAGTTTCCTAGTCAAGATATATCCTCTCTTTTTTTGTTTTAAAACTTTCTGTTAACGGTTTAGAATCTTGTTATTCTTATTTTTTTGTTATTTGGAAAGTGAGAGTCATTGCTGTATAGGTCGGGGACTTGATAATCTTATATTTTATGAGAATAATCACACCCTCACTCACAAGCACAGCACATAGGATATGATTATTTTGAAGAAGATACTTTTAGATTAACGTGAAACAAAAATTAGAAACGCACTAAGATGAATAATTATTACAATAAGTTTCGAAAGTATTTTAAGCGCGTTAGGCTGGCGAAAATGACTCATAGAGGCGCAATGTGTGTAAATTCAGACTGCTGGGTCGATTGGCCTATAGATCAAATAGAATCAGTACTCTACTTAAACGAGGGAAAGCGTGCAGTAATACCTAAAATCGTTTGCAGATAATAGTCCGCAGGCAGAATTTTTTCGAAATGTTTATTTTTACAAAAAGTGAGATTTATTAAAAGTCTCTGACCTATTCTATCACGATTCGCACTAAACGAGAAATACAAGCAATGGAAAAACAGATAGTAAATTAATGAAAACAAATAAATACGGATAAAAATTAAAGTAAAACAAGCTGATTAAAAAAACATGATTAAAAATTACTGTAGAAAATGTTTTGATAATGCTGTGTGAATGACGATAAACTAGATAGGTAATGTTCAGAACAGTAACATGGGGATGAACAAGATAAAAAATGGAAAGAGGATTGAGGTGATAAGTTTGAGGAACGTTACAAGTGTAAAATATTTACGAGAAAGATTCGATGAACAACATTAATTAAGTTTTTTGCAGTTTCCTTCAAGTTGAGTAAATAAAGAAGGAACTATATTTGTAATGGCTCATTAGCTGAACATATCCACGAACGATAATGAAAATAGAAAGGAGAAGATATACAAAATTTTTGTTATGGTAGTTGAGTTGGATTACTAAAACTAGTCGTCTGTTTCATGAATAAATCATAAAAAAAACAACTCTATCTAGAATTAGACTCGAATTCTTCTTTATATAACAAAACTATTTCTACTTGATGTATCAAGATTCATTTTATTTTTAGATCATCAATGGCAGCTCATGCCGCTCGTCGTCTCGTTATTTTGGGTGCGCCTGGTTCAGGTAAATAAATTCCGTCCTTCCAACCCATTCTTTTATCCTTTCTACGTATTTTTTTTCTACTTTTAGGTAAAGGAACAATTGCTAGTCGAATAGTAAAAACTTATGGCATGCCTCATATTGTTGTCGGTGATTTGTTGCGTCATAATATACAACAAAAAACAGGTGAGAAATAATTATATCTAATCTGATTACATTGATTTTCTTTTTTCAATTTAGAATCAAGTAGAACAATCAAAGAACATATTGACAAAGGACTTTTACTGCCAGATGATCTAGTTCTAACATTCGTTGTAGACGAATTAAAAAAATTAGGTGATAAAGGATTTCTTCTTGATGGTAAGTAACATAATGGTATTAAAATGATCAGTATATCCTTGTTGCTATTTTTTTGTTATAGGTTATCCTCGTACACTTAAACAAGCTGAAATGTTGCACCGTAAATTGAAAATGGATCATGTTGTTGCATTAAATGTACCAAATGATGAAATAGTTAATCGTTTAAAAGATCGTTGGATTCATCTTCCAAGTGGGCGTGTTTACAATCTTTTGTACAATCCACCTAAAGTTAAAGTAGGTTGTTTATGAAATGATTGACTTTCTTATTCTGTATAAAATTTGTTACTCGTTCTTAATAGGGTAAAGATAACGAAACAGGTGAAACATTATCACAACGAGAAGACGATAAACCAGAAGTTATTCTTCATAGATTAGAAACATACGATAAAAATACTAATCCTATCATGGAATTTTATAAGTGAGTTATATCTGCAATGTTTTATTTCTGAGTCTCGTTTTTCGTTTTTCTTATGTTTAGAAAACTAAATATATTACAAGAATTTCATGGACGAGAATCGGATAAAATATGGCCAGAAGTTAAAAAATGGTTAGATAAAGTGTTGAATGAACCGTCAAAAGCAGCTGCTTGAAACAAACTCTCTTTTCTCTTTTCTCTTTTCATCCATTTAATACAGTGAATGTAGAAAAAAAAAAAAATTGGAAACTTCATAATTTTTTGTTTGCTAATTTTTCCTAAGCCGTGTATATGTATGTATACTTCTTTCTACAATTTTTATATAGATTAGGTCGAAAAATCTCCAGATATAATAACATTGATAAAATGCGATCACATTTCAATTTTTCTTTTGTTGCGTGTTTGATCTGAGCCCGATTCGTAGATTATGGATTTTTTTCGAACTAATAGTTTGTTGAAAATAAAAATATAAGTCGACCAAACAAATTTTTCATTTCAGTACACAAATTAGTGGTAAAGAGAATAAAAATTCTATGTGAAAACTGTTCTTTCGATCCTTTATCTTGCATAAAATCGCTAATAGCATTACAACTAGCAACCAATTACTAGAAGGATGGTGTCTTGTATTCATACCGTAACAATGATCAGAGAATATTATAATGTTGTAAACAAAATTAAACTATTTTTCTCTTTTTTATATTAAAAGATATTACTCTTACTCGGTGACAAAATGGCAACGAAAAATGAGTTGCAACAGAAATTAAAATCAACTGGCTACGATATCAGTCCATATGCTTCGAAAGATACTTTATCGATCATGTTACGTTTACATGCACAGGTGAATAACTTTGTTTTTCTTTGTAACATTTTATAGCTTAGGTTACATTTTTCTGTTTTTAGGCATTAGAGAAAGGAATCGATGTACCAGAATTAAATGATATGGATCTACGAAAAAGTTTAAAAGCATACGATATTCATATTGGACCGGTGATAAACCTTACACGGACTATCTATCAACGAAAATTGCTTGAAGTTATTACTAAGGAAACAACTGAAGGTAAAATGATTAAATTTAATGAACTTTATGCGTATGTTTCAACAGTTTTCTTTGTTCACTTGTAGGACACGATGATGATATGGAAATTGATGATTATTCATCATATAACAATACTCAAAATCTTCCGGTGAGAGATAGAATTCAAACAAGAAGTGAAAAAAGTGTTTTTTACGATTGTGAATAAAAACTAAAATTTTATAGTTCATCATTCTTTTTATTTTTCTTACAAATAAATTATCTTTCTATTAATATATTTTGTTTTTATGTATGTTTCATAAACACATATATTTTTTTCTATTGTGTATAATACTTATCTTTTTTGTTTTGCATTTTATGTACTTTTTCTTTCTAAATACGCACATTATGTTATAGTATTTGCATATGTGCGTGCGATCTATAGTCTTTTACAGTATGTTACAAGACAGTATCGACGGACATTGAAATAAAATAAGAGCCTATATTGTGAAGTTCTACAAAGAATAAAACTTAAACATTACTCATGGTAACCCCAAGGGAAGAAGATCGATAAATCTTTCCATGTATGTCTGTTGAATCTTTGATAGCATTAGCTGATCAAGTTTGGAATGACAGTTTTTGCTGGACAGATTATTCAGTAGTCACAGTTAGTAGCGATAAGAATTATATGAAAATCTTAAAAATTTCGAAAGAATGAAATTGTAAAGAAGGAAATTTTTAAGAAACCGACGCTCTCTCTTTCTCTAATTTTTTCCTTTTGGTATTACTATGCCTAGTCAGTATTGTGCACAGTAATGCCCCATTTCGACTAGCGCCCTCTTTGTCAGTCATCTTTTAAGTTTATCTCCATGTTTTTGTTTTGTATAAACTCGAACCAATCACTACCGCTCCTTTGTAGAAAAAAAGACTAATAGAACAGAAAGGATCGTCCACCATTCTTTCTAAATCAAAAGAAAAACTAGACTATAAACCGATTTATTTTCTCATAAGTAAGGATAAATTACGAGGATCTGTATAAGTCAAGCATGTAAAATTGTCTCCACTACAAAGTCATGACACTTTTTTTGACATATGGTTAATGCCAGACTTCAAGATTGAGTATAGTGAGTAGACAGATCTTTTTCTGATAGAAAAAACGATTTTACTACTCATAAAATATGAAATTTTTAGCTCCTAATTGCTAAGTTTTTCAACAACCTTCTGAGAAACTCTTAGCTCTTCCTTCTTTACCTGAACGCTTGTCGAAAATGATTGTTTTCATACTCAATGTTGTTCTTTCTAGTCATTTGGAGATTTTTCTAGCCAGCTGCTCATTGAGGTATTGGCTGAAACTTGTAAAATTCGTATAATATCAATTTTATTTCAATGAATGACTTTTATATGATATTAGCCATTTCCTCGAACCTAAATGACCATATAGCCTAGTCGTCAAAGATGGTGTGGCTTGGTGACTATACTGTTTCTTACCTACTTCAAAGGTGCAATATTTGAACCTCTCGATACCATCAAGTCGTGTAATAATCTTAATCAAGTTATGTCTTCATGCCTTAGATTATTCGTCCAATAGCGCACTCACCACGCTGTGACGTGCAATACAATTTCTCTGATTAGGCCTCGTGACCTTCCGGAAAAAACTAGTATGTATGGAGAGCTCATGTAATTCGGCGAAATGAACTCTGCATCCAAGTAGTCTCCTGATCAAAGTTGCAGTTGATGGCTAGTAACGATATGGTTTACCATGTCAGGAGCTTGCCAACTGCAGGGAAGATACCGGGCTATTGAATCTGACACTTGTGAGCTTCCTACATCAGTAACGGTAGTCGCAAGGCGTGACCTTCTTCCTGCAAAGTTAAGGAACTTTTCAGCATAGACCACTTCGTATTTGAATACACTTTTAGATAGTACGCTGTCATTTCTCCCGAGTGAACACAAAAGCAATATACAATGAGCAGCAAAAATGAATTGCATAGAAAACTAAAAGAAATTGGTTATGAAATTGGTCCATTTGCCTCGAAAGATACATTGGCAATCGTTATGCGATTACATTCAATGGTATGTGAGATTGACATACCTTATCACATACTTCATATCTCTATTGTAATTACTTAGGTCGTTCAAAAAGGCATCGATGTATCCAAATTGAATGATCTTGATTTGAGAAAAAACTTGAACGATTACAGTTTACATGTAGGACCAGTAACGAGTAAGTACCAAATTAGATGGTATCCTTGCATGTTACACTTATCATTTTTTGTCAAAATGTAATAAGTTATTTGACTTGGTACTCGATCTTAAATGAATATTAAGCAACATTTTTGATTCCAAAACAATTCTTACTATAGGTCAAACACGTCCGATTTATCAACGTAAACTATTAGAAGTTATCACACACGAAACAACTGAAGGTACGAGTTCAGAACCAATGGTTATTTTATAATCTTTTATTATATTTTATACAGGAAGTGAAGACGATATAGTCTCTGAGCCTGCTCTAAATTCATCAACAGCATCATCATCGCCACTTAGACCATCAGCAGCAACAACAGCATATTCCTCTTCCTCAACGTCATTACGAGATGGAATAACAACAAGAAGCGGAAAGTAAGCGTTTTTTCATGAAGAGTTAAATACGTGATGTCAGCAAGAACAATAGCGTTAATATGATTGCTTGATTAGATTAAATGCACATGAATACAGCTTCGTTTTGTTATGTTGAGAAAGATTTAGCTAACTTGTAAAAGGATATGACATGATGTTTTTTTTACGCTCTTTCATCTTACACTTTAGGTTGAACGACATATCGTCACCAACAAGTATTCCAAACACGGATCCTCGTGTTCAGTTAACGCGTATTGATATTAGTGATAATCTTGGTATTTCACCATCGTATCCCAAATTACTATCAAAACAAACATTGCAAGAAGTAACATCACCACTTTCGTCAAATTTATCAAGGTCATCAGCCGATAATACGACACCATCGTCACCTCTCAAACGTTATTCTTCTGGTATCAACGCAAATAATAACCAAGATGAATTACCAAACACTCCTCCAAGACCAGCAATACGACCGACCGGTGGCACCACGTATGGTTTACGCGATCCATATAATTTTCAAAATGATGATTATAAATCCGTTGCATCGACCAATCGGCCAACAACAACATACACGAGTACTTTTACGCGTTCAAATTTAGAATCGAAGTCAAGCAATGATATTTTATTAACAAACCCAAGTCAATCTGCGCCCAAAACTCATTTTTCTTCAATGTCAACAGCGAATAATACTCCAAGATACGAGAATTTCGAGTAAGTTTACCTTTGGCTCGCTTTTTCTAATCGCTGATTTGCTGCTATAGAGTGTATACTTTTATTTCCTATTTCTAGTGATTTAAATACAAATACAATTCATCGACGAACTCATGAAGCGACCACAAATATTGAATCGAGACCATCAAAATACTCTTCATCACAACCAAAGAAGGTTATATTTTCCGATGAAAATTTTCCCGGTGATAAAACGGATCTTTCTGGTGAAAAATCAACTGGTGATAAAATGGATATGGTCGAAGCAGCCAAAGATAAAGGTAGTTATAAACGGTCTTTTGTTTCTTTCACTAGCTGTAACTGATTGGTCTTAATGTTTATTTTACAGGCAGCGGTATGTTATACGGTGTTATTACTGTAATTGTGGCAATTCTTGTATTTATTTTATATACCTGGTTAGAAAAATAACTGTGCATTCGTATTTTTCTCTTTCTATTTTTTTTGTTCGTCGATATTTTGTCACTAGTTGAATCTCTTAAAAAACTTGTATTTTTTGGACAAATTAATTTTTTCTTGCTAGTTGTCTTCGTAATAACAACAACCTCTGAAATTTAATAAATATATTTTGTGTTGTTGACAAAGAAATACAGGATGAAGAAGCCTTCAAAAACCTGCTGGAGACCATAGGCGTTAGAGCCTGATAGGCGCAGTAGACTCGAGCCTAACCTAGAATTGGCTAAAAATAATCTTTTTTTCCTACAGAAATTCGTAAAGTTTTGTCCTCATATGAACAGAAGTAAATTCGTACCAGACAGAAAGATCCCGCTACAGGCCGGCTGAGGAGCATTCGGCTGACCCGGCTGAGGTCAATTCTTTCGAGAGTGCACTAGGCTTTACATTGATCTCATGCTGATCAATGTAAAGCCCATTTAAATAAACTTATGATCTGAAACTTTTTAGACTAGTGAAACTTGATACGCGGATCACAAAAATAATCTTAAAAAATTATTTTAAAACATCGCCATCAAGTCGTGCGCAAGTAGCTCTGGAGAGGTTCTCCAGCAGAACCAAACTTGCTATACATTATATTTTATCTGTTGAATGTACGATTCGATACAAATTTGCCATAATTCCGTCGTCTTAACCGATATAAATTTGAAAATTTTATCGGAAGTTCCCACCCTGAACATTTAAGTTTATTACACTTGTATAAAATCCTGGTTTCGGGCGTATCTCTCGCTAAAATTTCTCCACGGAAACAAAACAAAAATTTAATACCTGTATTTAATACGTGTATTTGAATCCTGCATTTGCACTCCATTTAGCGGCAGAACTTGCAGATCGATAGGTCATTTAAATGCTGAATGACAAGGCAAACACTGAGAGCTGGTTTGCAATTTGTACCAACATTGCACATATTTTCTAGACAAACTCGAGATTCTGCGGGCTGTTCCTACATTTGGTATCGATCTATATGGTGGATACTTCAATTTTTCATACGAGGCGTTTTTTGCCAATGCAGGAGAAACTGAGAACTGAAAACTAAATGTTATTTTTACAAGCGCTTCACCATATAATACGATGAGAATAAAATATATATTCGAATGCTCTCAAGTGTCTCTTTCTATTGATATATATAATAAAGTTGCTTTATCTATTTTTTCTGGCACAAAAGCCCGCTGTACTAAAATTCGCCGAAAATCAGTAAGATGTGGCTCTATATGAAAGTGGTTAAAAGTATTTAAAAAAGAAATTTGCTTTGTAGAAGCTGTCAATTGATACGATATTAATGATATGATATAGACATATTTGCACGTCCCATATTCTGGAGAAAAAAAATATTAATAAACCCAATGACAAAAGGAAACAATGTTCGTTTTTTTAATACTTATGAGTGAATCAAGCAACATAGCCAACCAACTGTGAGTATTATGTAAAAGCGAAAACTAGAGTACTTAATCTGCGACTGTATACTCATTCTTTTAAGGAAACAGTACCATGTTATTAGAAGAGATTTTACCAGTGATACATGAAAGAGTTCAACAAGACGAATTTCGTAAAATAATCATAAATGAAATGAAATTCATTCATTTGATGAATGAAACATTGTATCAAATCGACTTAGTATTGACAGTATATTATGAGAGAAAAAAAAATTATTACGTCAATTAGATGATGGTTCACATGTTGTTAACGTCATTCGAAATGGATGTACATCTATTGATACAAAAAATTGTAGCGAAAATTACCCATTTAAATAAACTTATGACACAAACCGTTCAACATTTCACTCCAACAACGATTTTTTCTCAACTACAAGTATCGACAAATACTCTAGAAGTTGATTTATCAATTGTAACAGAACGACTTGATGATATATACAAAACGGTTGGTGATCTTAAAAGTTAATTATCGATAAAGACAATATGGTTCATTTTGTAGAAAATACAGAATTACCAATTCAATTTGGTTTTCGAGAACACACGACTAAAATTGAGAAGATGATGAATAAATTAAAATTAGAATTGCGAGAAGAAAATGAGAATCGTCAACGTTCACAATCAGCACCAGAAACTAATAATGAACGTAGTATGTACACTCACGAGGGAACCTCCCGAGGTGATAAATCGCTTTTTGATCGAAATCTGGTGGGTTATAGGTTATCGACCATACTGATTCCGAATATGATCTGATGATGATGAATATCATGGGGCTTCCCCATAGCTCTTCGAAGATCCGGTCTTCTGGAAAACCTGTTTTTCAGAAACTCTAAAAAATAACCAAAATTTTTCTTAACAAGGCATAATTGTAGCGCGCAAATTTCTGATTAAAATCAGTCGTCTCCCAGCTCTACATGACCTTTCTTTGCAAAGTTATAGAATTTACAAGAAAAGCCCTGTATGTCCATTGTCAGCTCAAAAGCTACAAAAGTAAGAAGCAAAAAATTAATTTAGAGCCTTTCTTGTAAATTCTATAACTTTGCAAAGAAAGGTCATGTAGAGCTGGGAGACGTCTGATTTTAATCAGAAATTTGCGCGCTACAATTATGCCTTGTTAAGAAAAATCTTGGTTATTTTTTAGAGTTTCTGAAAAACAGGTTTTCCAGAAGACCGGATCTTCGAAGAGCTATGGGGAAGCCCCATGATCATATTCGGAATCAGTATGGTCGATAACCTATAACCCACCAGATTTCGATCAAAAAGCGATTTATCACCTCGGGAGGTTCCTAGTCAGACAGGACGAAATGTTTTAGATCACGGTCATCAAACTCGATTAGGATTAGATATTGAACGAGATAACCATCCAACACATAAAACTGTTATATGCCCGCAAAAAACTAGGCACTAGGAAATATATCATTGAAGAAGAATGGAAAAAAGTAACAACAAAAACAATCGATAATGAAGATGGGGCTATCAATTGTATAGAAGAGAAAGGAGAAGAATGGAATTATAATTGTGGTTGACTAGACGGAGACATCCAACAAGAGGAGCAAGACGATGGAAGTAGTGATCATTACCATTATTTACGTTTCTTTTCAGAATCGACAACAAAGAAGAGGGACGACACAGCATTTGAATATTCATCGTCATCGGGTCAAGAAAATGATTATAATTATCATTCATATTCGAAAAAAACAAAGAGTTCATACAACAATGATAGGTAACGAGAAAATATCACAAATTTCAACTAATACGAAACGACTCTAAACAAATAACGATTGTAGCACGAATTCGTGCTACAATTGGCAATCGTCTGGATGAAATGCTTCAAGGATAACGTCATCACACAATTAAAAATCTAGTTAACCTATGCTCAAGTAATTTAACTAACACACAGGTTTATAACAACGGAGAGCGTCTTGACGAAGTACTAACATCAAATGGAAATGAAATTATTTATTACGATTATATGCGCGAATGTATACGTTTAATTAATAATGTAGACAAGAATATCAATCAACAGTCACGATCACAACAAGAACTGACATTAGATTTTAAGAATGGTTTCATTGTTTGATTTGTATTGGTCTAATATAAAGAATAAAATGGTTCATATATTGTTCATAGTGAACAAGGTTTATATTGTTGGGATAAAACTGAACACACCATGTTACATATTTTCAAATGGAGAAATTGGATTTAGGCGTTTAGCTATAACAGACACAAGTATTTACTGTGTGTTTTGTTATTCATTAATGATGTTAGAATTTACTCATGAAATGTAAATGAAACGTTTACATACTCTATCACTACTGAAAAATAATTATCGAAAACTAACTGATATATCAGTAAGAAAATCCACAATGAACAATGTCGATTTAATTGGTCTAATTTGATTTGGAACGGATCCTGGCTGTCTGTTGGAAGAACGAAAACAACAACAGCCCAATATAAAGAGAATATTTCGTCATATATCAGCGAAAAATGCTCGTTATGCACGTCTATCATCTTATCAGAACACATCAGAGACCGAAACGGGTCAACTAAACGTGACCCGAACCCGACTCGACCCGAACGTGAGCTCCCGACCCGATCCGAATCAATATCTTATACGTTGACCCGACCCGAATGGACACAAAAATTTTTCCACTGTGATCCGAAGTACCCAGGCAAACATTATCTATGGGAAAAATCTAGATACATTTCGTCTGTAATCGGGCGATACATGACTAGTTGTCATACTAGATTACTAGTTGGAAAAGGGACTTTTAACTAGATGAGTCTGCGTGTGCAACTAGCAATAGTTAAATCGATCGATTATCGAGCGATAGGTTGATAGTTGCAACTAGATGAAATGTAGCAATCGCCCGATTACTAGATTTTCACTGTCATCACTCAATAGTTGCAATCGAGTAAAAATCTAGTAATCTAGATGAATTAGGCGATACTAGATGTTTTTTACGCTTGGGTATATTTTTCAAAGGACTCGACCTGACCCGACCCGTTTCGGTCTCTGGAACACATCATGGTTGGTTAGTCACACTAGTAATCCATACATCTGTTGTATAGACATGGGACAATCTTCTCAAGCTAAGTGTATTCAAACTAATGATAAATTGTTATATTTATCGATGTTTTTTCCTTCTCTTTTCATATATATTTGGTATTTTGCATATGTTTGTTTAAATAAATTTTGTTGGTAGATAACCTTGAAAGAAAGTGTCTATGTCATGTTTATTTATTTTCGTTGATAACGAAAAGAAAATTCATGCACGAAAGAAAAAGCATCCTTTAATAATTGAAAACACCGGAAGGTATTTTTTCATAGATTTGAGCATATGAGAGGTGGTAACTTTGATCAACTAGAGTAGCAGGGAAACACATTGCAGAATGAAAATGATTGTGTACAAAATTTAGGGAAAAACAAGCAATAACTGAACAAAAACGGTGATCACACTACGCTTGAATGAATGAGTTTAGAATTGCACAAATAAAAAAAGAAATTTAGATAATAACATATTGTAGATCTTGATTCCCACAGTCTTTAACCAAAAAAAGGACCAACAATAAAAATCACTTTCAAAAATATATGTAAAAGAAAAATTGACGAGGTAAGAGTTGCATTTGGTTTTTCATCCTGTATGTGTAGACAACAAGGCAGATGTCTTACTGGTAACAACAAAACAGACATGCAGTTATATTTAGCAAGATCTCTCTCTCTCTCTCTCATTGCTCATCGTTCGATTTTAAACAATAAAAATAAACTTGAACTGACGAAACCGCTTTAAGCCAGATAAAAAATACAACACGATAACATTTTTATTTTCAATAAGAACACGATAGTTTACGAATAGAGAGAATAATAATAAGAAAAAAACACGGTATTAAAACGTTTTTCCATATGATTTATTTTTGAAAGAAAAATGAAAAAAGTAAACGAAAATTAAAAAAAAACATATTGTTTGTACAACCTTATCATTTGCGTTTAACACATGGCTATTTCGATTTGATTTTTTCGCTAATTATTGCTGCTAAATCAAGATCAGCTTTACATGTTGCTTGAATATGATTGCGAATACCTTGTAATGCGTTTTTTAACGCATCCTTACTGGATGCAATTAACATTTTTCGTTTGATTGTTGCTGTATCTGGTGCCCTTTAAAATAGAAAGAAAAACAATTCTGATAATAAAGTAAAAAATTCGTACTACCAGTACACAAAACACACTCCTATCTCTTTATTTTGTCACGCTAAAGTCTGGTGTCTTATAATCTTTTTCGTTAAAAGAATATGGCAAATGTTGTGAGAGAGCTAACTAATAAGAACACTTTGAAACTTCCCTGCGTTCTGAACAAGACGAAGAAGAAACATACCACGAGATAAAATAAATTTCCGTTCGAGAACCTTCTTTTGTATCATAAAATATATCAATCACTGCATATCGAACATCGTTTTCAGGCAAATCATCTACCATTTGTTCCCATTTTTTATCTAAGTACAAAAAAAAAACATTCAAAAGAAATAGAAGAAGAAGCAATCAGAATTACTTTTATCAGCACTTGGAGCATTCTGCGGTACTTTATTTAAGCTTTCATTCAAGACAACAATTTTTGATATATCATCACTGAAACCAAACACGAGATAGCCAATATTTTTCTTGATTTTGAAATCGTGGTATTTTTCAATGACTAAATTATCAACTTTGACGCCAGATGCCTAAAAGTAAACAAATGCAAAAAAAGAGATTTGATCAATCCGAAATGAATCAATAAAAACAGTATGTTGTTTGTTGACGGATTTAAATATTCGGAATAGACAAAAAATATCAAAATGCTTTGATCTCTTTCATTCCGTCGATCTCAACTACGTCGAAGGGTAGAGAAACGAGGTACTGAATAAACAAAAAAATAAAACAATATTAGTTTTTTTCATTGATTTGATAAAATATACCCATCACATGTCATAAATAACTATAAAATGTTACATGGCACCAAAAGAAAAATGTCGTGAAAAAAAATACAAAACTGCTAATACAGATTGAAAACTAGTTTACTGTAGGTTGAACTATCGTCTATTTCTGAATCGGCAAAGTATATATCCTTCCTTAAGCTATTGTTAAGATACTATTAAAAATTTAGAAAAAGTTCATTTTCATGGCAAATATAAAGGCAAACGAGAAGTCACCTAACGATACGTTAAATCTTTTGTTAATATTTTCTTAAGAAAAAGTTCATCAGATTACTTATACATTTCTAGTGTAGAGTTAATGATGTAAAACTTGATTATATATAATGTTTTTAATTCAAAAATTGTTTCTACTCTTACCATTACTAGTTCTTGATATGGTTTCTAGATTTGTAGAAATTAAATAAATCTTCTGTCTTGATACTACACAGCGTCTTAATCTTTTTTTTTTCTTCTTCTAGAAAAAGTATATGTGAACAATTTGTTTAGACGCTTTATAGTGTATTTTATTACTACGATTATTATTATTATGATTATTCTTTTTCTTCTATGGAAAAATACATCAGTATACTACTATTATATATAAATAATTTGATATGTATATACAAAAGGTGCTATGAAGAGAAAGTGTTTGGATAAAATAGAAGTGTGTTGGTTGATTGTTTTTTTGCTATGATTCACTTAATGTGTTCTCTGACTTTTTTCCGTTTCTTAAATATTGATGCCTGCATACAATTTTCTTTTTCCATTCCAGCAACAACGTGTAAATCTAACTACATGCTCTCTCATTTTTTCTATTTCTTTTTCTTTACTCTCAAGTCAGCGTGTTAAATCTACGTTTTGACATCGATCACTCGTTTCAGCAAACGGTTTATTTTCTTATGTTATGTTTTTCAATGGAAGAAATCATTTTTTTTTTCTTCTAATAGTCCTTTGTTTTTCCCGTATACAGAATTCTTTCGAATTTGCAAAGGAGAAGGAAAAAAACAACTCAATAACTGCCATATGCGTTTTTTATTTGTTTCATATTGTCTGATGCAATACAAAAACATAAACACACGCAATAGGTATGTATTCCACAGTTGATGGTACTGTTTTAGTTCTGCTAGATGGCATTATGCTCTGTCCGCCACGAATATATTAAATAATTCTATTTTACAATGATGAGTTGTTATTTAGTTACCAGTATAGTACACAATAGATTAGGAAATAAATATAACATTATCGCAAATAACAAAAATTTGTACTATGACTCATTGTAAGAAAAACTGAAATGCTAAATGATAACCGTCCGATGACAAAGCGCAAAGTTGAGAAGAATCTTCCAGAGAAGAACGTAAAATGATTGTGGATAGATATCAGTCAAAAAATATAGCAAAAATCCTTTGTTTTAAACTTACCGATCCTGACATGATGATAGAATTTACTAAATATCACTGTCTAACAACTGTCGATATTAATGATATTAAGAGTTTTACTCTAATTAATAAATAAATCGATCGATCGAAGTAATGTATATTGGATATGTAGATGATCAAAAAAAAAATAAAAATGAAAAACGATGGTGATATGATGGAACACACACAAATGTAAATATATGTTGTGCTTTTGAATCTATGTTTAATGTGGATTTCAGTCGTGTATGTTTCAAGGGAACAGGTGTCAAAGCGAAGAGAAAGAAAACGAACCTAAAACATATAAATATATACTGAATCGACGTTTTTTCTTTTTTCGTGGTGATGAGTTATCGGCTGTGTGTGTAGATGTATGTTCTTCACATATTAATACTCTGACGACACATCGCTCACGCTTCTACTATTCGTTTTCGACTAAAAAGGAAACTAGAGAAAAAGCAAAAATTTTTTTTATTATTTCTTTCTTACCAAATAATTCAAAAGAGAGAGATAAAAAGCAGAAGAATTTATCGAAAGAAAAAAAACATACGATGAAAAATTTTGATTGTTAGTGAAAGGAAAGTAAAACATGCTCGGCTCAGTATTGACGATTACTCATTCTATTTTTTTTGAAAATAATTACCAAATATGGAGATAAACATAATGATCCGGCAATGTCATGAGAGAGCTAAATCTAATAATTGAATACTTTGGACTAAAGTGAAAAGATAGCAAAAAAAGAAACTTTTTATGTCAACTAAAACGTTTAAAATCACAATCCAAGTGGCAACTAGAACTTTTAAGCTATGGAGATTGATTACCTCACTTGCTATTTCTCACCCGAATATATAACTATGTTCCGTGCTTGTTACCTTAGGAGTCGTGTTAATGTCTAAACATTATGACTAAGCTCAAAAATCGATTTCAAACGAATGGAATGCTATTATTCATAATCTAGAAGAACTTTGACAAGCTGAAAGCTTAGGACTAGTAAAACTAGCAGAAAAAATTTCAACAAAGCAAGCTGAGTAGTCTGATAGGCTAAGCATTCAGTAATGATGACAATTCAGAGACAATTTAGAGTCATGACGTCTGTTGACTTTTTTCATAGTTTTGTCGGAACTACCATACGTCAAAAAAGTAATGTTGTGCTAAGTTGCGAAGGATGCTCAATCAATAAACCGTCAGAAGAGGCAGTAGTTGTCATTTTGCAAAATTACACCTCATATCAGAGACGCAGGGTCGCAAATAGGAGCCGAACATTAGAGGAGCGTAAAACAAAATTTCTCTCTCGTTGTGTTTGTTCTCGACGTTGTGTGAATTGATAAAAAAGAATTTTGTGCGAGGAATAATGTATAAAACAACAACACCTTTTTCAATTATTCGGGAGCTGCGCACTCTTCCACATTCTCCCGTTATTTGCGGCCCTTCATGTCACAGACGATGTTAATTTTTAAAAAGTTCAAAAGTGAACGCCATTAGAAAAAAACTTGGATTCAAACGCCCACAAGAAAGAAGCGAATCATCTGTGATGCTACATTTTTGTTGAAGCTATATATGAAAGTTCATTTGTATCTGTATATCTTTATGTATTTCTGGCCGTTTGTTTGTTTGTTCTTTGCTTTCTGTTTGGCGAGGCCAACACCTTCCGATTCGAGGGCCCTTTGAATGCATGGTAGTGCTTCATGAATTTCTGAGTCTATCGATGAATTATTATCAGTGATCGTTTTTATGATTAATAAATAGTGGAGAGTGTTCAAGGTAGACTTCATAACTACTGGTTACTCTGAATTTTGTTTTTGTTTTTGTTTTACAGATGCAGAAAAGCTACCAGACAAAACGAAAATGTGTCGATGAATTCCTCATAAAACAAAAAGATATTTATTGAGAGCCACTAACAATAAATCGATTGACATATAAAAAAACAAAATGCAGAGTCAAGATATAGACAAACAAAAATTCTTATTCGTTATCTTCTTTTATTTCGTTCATTAATCTGAATTTTTTATCATTTTTAGTCTCAAAAACAAGAAGCTGATGGTTTCTTTTTTCTTTTTTGTGCAGACTCAGTTGATGGAACACGTATTGTAAGAAAAAGTCTAATATTTTTTGTGTAGTTTCGTTTCGTTGTGTAAACCTTTTGTTCTGTTTTTGTTTGTCAATGTGTTTCTTATCGTTTGTTTTTCGTTCAACAATAGTATTTTATGTAACAAAACTTACGTCTTTTGCGCTTCGAGAAATACTTTTTCTCTAATGCTTTATAGTATTTGTACGCGTTTAACTGATGCTCTTGAATCAGATAATGATAGAAACAAATATTGCCCTTCTATTCTAACTCTTTGTTAGAATTTTATATACATGTTATTCGATATAATACTGATTTTCGTAGTATTTTGTTGAGAAAACTATATGAGTTTTGTCTTGGTCCTTATGTTGATTTTGTCTATTGTTTATCGAATTATTTTAGGATATTTGATATAATAAACAAAACGACTAGTGAGAAGATTTCTTTTTTATTAAATATTAGAGTATCGTCCAAAAAATGACTGCCTGCGCTCAAAGGACACTGAGTCTTAAGTAACGATAGATCATTCCATTACACATGTTAACCCATAACCGATAACAAACTAGGAGATTATCTATCATCAAAATATAAATCCATTTGATATTAGATTATGTCAGACTGTAATGAATCCATAGTTTCTTTCTTTGCTGTGAAAATGGCAAAAGGTGAATTATTGCACGTGAATATATCAGAACATTTTTACGCAGAATATTCTTCTATTTTCTAGATGAATTGTATTTTTGGTCGTGGAATACGTAATCCTCGCTTACTTTCAACAGGTACATTTTTTTTAGTTTTACTTTATGATCTTTTCATTTTTCTGATATTTTACTTAAACTTATTTGTTAAAATGCTCAGTTTTTAGACGATTTGAATCGTCGTCATCAAACAAGACATATGATTCAAAAGACAATGATTTAATTCCACCCACAACGTGTTGTATGTCTAATTGTGCTAATTGTGTCTGGTTTACATTTGCCGAAGAAATTGCCGAACGATATCCACATGCAAGCATCGAAGTTATCGATGATGTTTTAAAAAAATATATTGATGATCAAAGCTTTCGTGAATTTCTTGAAGTTGAAATACAAATGCGAGATATTAATAAAACACAAAAATCCTAATTATTTATTATGTATAGTATTTATTTTTTTCTCCTTGTTAATTTAAACATATACAATTATTCGCCGCTTTTCTTCTGCTTTTGTTAGTGGTATATATCTGTCAGAATTAGTAGCTCTCATTCTTTTAAGATATTTATTTATGATCTAATTTTTCTTCTAGATTAATATAAATGGCAGAATCTGTTTTATCGTTTTTTGAGTTGCCGTTGTTGACACAAGAAAAAATCTTGAAATATTTACCTTATAGTGAACTTAGTCGAATACGGATTGTCTCAAAGCGTATGCATCATTTATGTAGTGGTATTTTAAATCGATCCTATTATTTATTAGAACCATTTATCCAAGAACTTCAACGTAGTATCAAATCTAAATTACCACGACGAGAATCGGAAAGACACAAACATCCATTGTCATATAAATTTGATACAATTTCATCATTAGATTCAAGAATACAATGGTTAAAACTAACATTTAATTCAGCGATTGGAAATGGTTTATGTTGTTTTTATGTAAGATCGCATAAAATTAATTATGTTTATATAGTTTCTCTTAATATTTATTTAGCCTGGAAAACTTCTCGATGAAATATATATTGTCATACGTCATTTACAATTACAACAAATATGTCCAAATCCGAGATCAATTTTGCAAGAAGTAAGAGATATGTCATCAATGGCTATTGAACATTTTCGAGAACACATTGAACCCAAATTACAACAAACCAAACTTATGCCATTAACAAATTCATTAGGAGTAAATAGTTCCTTTTCACTATTCTCGACACCGACATCAACATCGGTCTCATCATTGAGACATCAACTGGCACCACGTATATATACGATGAATAATGACTTTTTATTTGTTAAAATGATTTCTTTTTCATCATAGAATTGCGAAAACATCATACTATGTTAAAGTCATCAAATGCATTGTTACGTGAACAAATCAATGTTCTTAGAAAATCTGTTCAACAACAAAACATGCTGGTAAGTGGCAAGCAAGAAAAATTGTCTTCTACATTTGAATTAATAAACAATCTGTAAGCAATAAAAGTTTAATAATTTCTCTTGAAAATAGTTTATTCTTTTCTTTTTCTAGATTTGCAGTAAAAACTATCAGTTGGGATTATGTCGTCGATTATTACAATATCGAACACGATCAGTTTTAAAACAAAGTTATCGTATTAAACGTTTAGAAAAAAATCTTGTACAAACAAATCATATTTTAAACGAAACACGTCAAAAGTTTGATCAATTTTTGGTATTATACAATAGTAACAGGGACAATAGTAATAGTCGAGAAGATAATGATACAACGGCTAATAATAATGATAATAATGACAATGAGCAAGAAAAAAACTCAATAACGTTAAAACATAAAAATGATGATGACGATAACGACGACAAAACCGATGAGATTATTTATTGCTCGACGGATGAACAAGAAGAGAGACGAAATTGTTTTACAATGACAAAAAATAATCGAAAACGACAGAAATTATAACAAAAAATACACTACCATTTTATAATAGTCAAACGATTTAGATCTAGAGTAGATTAACTATCGTTACAAAAATCTCATTATGTTAATAATATTTAGGATAGTTCTATTGACAGTCTCACACAGAGCACTAATTTTTGCGTTCAACAGTCGTTTTCCTTTTTCCAGGAAAACGTACCATGAATGAACCTAACTTAATAATTTTACTCAAGCAATCGATAAATCTAGGTAGAGAAAAATCAAGTAAACATAACTAGTAGTCCGTCCAACTTCAAAATTTGGTTCAAATCCATATTTCGAATAAAAAGTTCCAATTTCGCCAAAGATTTGATACGAGTATTTAGACACACGAGTTTGTATGTGCGACTTATAATAGAAATTCTTGCGTTATTACTTCCGAAAGTAATAATATCTAGAATCAGTTGAAGAACAGATATAGATAGTTTGATTTGAGTAGTAATTATGATTGTAATTTTTATGTAATAAAAATGAGCGATAATTATGTTGAAGTGAAATTTTCGCTTTTTTCATATTCACTTTGATTGAGTGTTTTATGTTCTAAGCCTACATTTTGTATGTTAAAATGACTAATTATATGAATGATAAAATATTTCTTTCTACGGCCTTAAATTTAAGTTTTTCTCATCTCTCTATTTAATTGATTTTTTGTTGTTATTGTTTGTGTGCTTGTGTCATTGTATTTGAATTGTATCAACTGGTGATTGCATATAGAAGCACAAATTAGATGCTAATATATTTTATTCTATTTAAGAATTTTTACTCTTGTTTATTTAATATGAATTCGTATGGCTTCACTATTCTTTTTTTCTTCGTTGTTTATGTCTTTTACATTATTATCTTCTTTACTTTTTTTTTTCTACACTTTGCAAGCATTTTTTATTATTACAAATATTCGTTGTATGCACATTCACTCGTAGTCATAAATAACAAATCTAAATAAACGATAAATCGTTTGTGCACACATCAGATACTTCCTGCTGAACTTGAAAATTAAAGATTAAATTAAAGATCTTACATGAAAATTTCACAAGTCTATATAAAATATTGTTATATAAAAATCTCTTCAATTATTGAACACTGTTCGAAAGTAAAACTGAAAAAAGTGGGAAAAGCTCCTTGTGATGTTTTGGAAATAAGATGGACAAAAGTGAGAGAAGTTACGTATGATAATAACTTCTTTTAGAATTGTTAAAAGTTGTGCTTAGATTATTCTTCATTCAAACGCTATTTATTTGGATTGACGAATGATTCTAGGATTGACCAATGAATGAATGAAAGAACAAAGTCTAAAAAAGATTTTTAAAAACGTATGTTTGTGAAATATCTATTATCAAGATCAGAAGAAATTCTAAAAGATTTTCTTTTCGATTCCTGCAGTATTATTTATTTGACAAAAAGATTGATAATTTTAAAAAAATACAATAAATTATCAAGAAAAATTTTAAAATAATTACAATATAATTACAGTTAGAACGAATTAAAGTGATAATTTTTCTTAATTTTTCACATTAGTAATTGATTCTGTATTCGTATATAATTTCAAATCATCACATCGTTGTTTCCAGGCTCGTAATTGTAAATCGAGTGCATCTGTTTCTCGTTGCAAATGATTGATCTAAATATAAAAGGTAGAGGAAAAAAACAAGTACTTTTTAATATTGAATGTTTGCATTATGTACCTGTTTTACTAATTGATTCCGTTCAACAGATAAATTTTCTACCATTGATAGTTGTCTATTACGGCTGCTTGCAGCGTACCCTTTATTTTTGAGAATACGTCGACGTCTTTTTACGATTTGTGCTTCAGTTGGTTGCATCGTTTTCAATAGTGCATTTAAATCTCTAACTTTCATGGATATTATTTGATCATCGTTTATCTAAAAGAATATCGATTATAACTACAATATTCCTGAAGAGTGTAAACTTCTTTTTATTATTTTAAAAGATAAAACGTAGAAAATGTATTGGAAACATACATGACTACTAATAATGTGCTTTTCATCTTCTTGCGAGACAATGGCATCATTTCCATGATTACTATTCATTTTTAATCTAAAATGAAAAAATTTCTTTTCTAGGTACCACTAAGCTGCAATCATTTTGTCAACAATCGTATAAGTTATTATCAAACATTATAGTCTTTTACTTTGTCGTTTGACTTCATTTATTTTCTGTCTCATTATCATTATATACTGTAAAGTACACTACTTTGTTGTTTGCCTATTTATGAAAAATAATATATCAACAATGATAAGACTTTTTATTCGTAGAAAAATTAATAAACAAAGAGAAAAAAATATAATAACAGTATTTTCAAAAGAGGAAATGTGTAACAGATTTTAAATTAAAACTGGCTTGACGATTTGTAATTGTATTTGTCTATATTCTTTAGCTGTTTGTTTACGTTTTTCAGCTTGAGCCAAAGCATTGTAAGTAAAGATCTAGACAATACAATAACAAGCCCCATATAGCGATGATTAAAACAAAAAATAATAGTCAGCCAAATTTTACTTACTAAATATAAACAAGTCAATTTTAAATATAATGTGTCGTGTAAACAAGAAAAAATGTCTTTTGATAAACACAAGAGATTTTTTGCTTCATTTGGATCTGAAATAAACATAAATTATATTAAAATAGTGTATTATTAAGTTTTCGAATATATACGGACGGATTTGTGTCGATGTACACACAAATTCAGAGAGTACAAGACTATAAATTGAAGTCAAGTACTATATCAACACAAACGAGTAAATTTAATACACGTATCTGTACACATTCCAGTAGTTATTGAATACTTACTATAAAAATCATCAGATTCAATTAAATAATATTTGGCTAATAGCAATGCACATCGTCCGATACTATATTGATCACCATGTTTCAGTAATTCTGTCAAACAATAACTCAATGTACGTACAGATTCAACTGTTAAATTTGGAGAATGCTAGAATAATAACATAATCAATACTTTCAATTTTATATCTGATATAATATTATATCGCTTACTTTTTTCAATTGAATTTCATATAACGTACACAAAATTTCATAATGATTTAAACTATATTTTACACATAATTGTTTGCATTCATCTAAAAATCCAAGACTTTGGACTAGATCATTTTTCTTTGCACAATTTTCCGTTAATAATAATAGTAATCTACCAATACAGAATAATAAATTAGAAACAAAAATTAATATCAATTTGTAGATACACTTACCTAACACGAGCAATTAAATCGGACACTTTTTCTGTATTCAATGATTTGTATAATCTTAATGGTTCTATCTGACAATCTTCAAGTTCATTTAAATTATGTAAACACATTGCTCGTCTAAAAACCAAATAAATTTTTTATTATTAGAACAATAAAGTGTGTTGGTGTTGATGTTGATGATGATTTACCTAATTTCGTATTCGATCTGTGAATAAGCGGAAAATGTTTTCGCAGTAATCAATGCACGATCCCATTCATTTGTTCGACATTGATAGATAAATTGAATATCAGCTTTTGCCATTTGAATTAAATTTAATGCATTCGACGATAAATTAACTAATTTTGTACTACGCTCAATCATTTCATGTGCTTGTGCATATCGACCCTATCATAAGAAAACAAAACAAAATGACACTCAGCTACAATAGAAACATTGATAAAAAAGAACTCTTACATGATTAAGAATAGCCATGGTCAAATAGGAACAAGCTAAAGCGTAATAATCTGTATGCAATAAATGTTGACGTTGAGCAGTATCCAATACAAGTGATGCATAAAGAAGAATAAAGTCACTATAGAAAAATAAAACAATCAAAATAAACTTTTAGTAAAATGTGTCTACAACTACCATCAAACGTTAGAATAGAAGTGTTGAATGAACTTTATGTTAATATATCAGACATGTTAGCTTTCCATATTTAGAAAGTAAAGCAAGGAAAAAAAATAGTTTAACTCAAACTAGTGGCATTTACTTGTATTGTGCAAGATTCCAGAATGCTGTTTTATTCAAATAATGAACAGCAACGCGATTAATCCAATTAAATCGAGATTTGACATCTGTACGTTCAAAATCAATATCGATACGTTGTCTATAAGAATAAATAGATAGATTAGTACACAATATTGAGAAATTTGTGTACACAATAGATTTATTCTTACGTACAAGACAGCTGGAAGATTGCCACGGCTAATTAGCTGAACCGATGGCCAACTTTCACTACAAACACTATCATCCTAAACATTAAAAGTCAATTTGAACTAATCTCATCACACTTTTACGATTTTACTTACCAGTGTTAACTGAGAAGCTGATGAATTGTCCAATTGTCTTAAATATCGATTATCAAGAAGAAGTAAATTATCAACTTTTTCCGAACTGCTTAACGCATTCGATATTAAACGATCCTATATAAAAAGATTATATTAAAATGTAAAATTAGTTCAAATTTTGTTACAGTACTCACTACACACAATGGCATTATATCTTTTTCTGTGCGTAATAATGACATTGCCATACCATTTTCAAGAGCATTCTTTGAATCAACTCTTAAAAGTAGATAAAAAATCTTATAGACGTTCAAGAATAATGAACAGTATGTAGACCTACTTGAAATTATAATGTGAAAGTAATGAAGATACGTGTAATGCTCCAATATCTGATGATAATTGTAAACCATTTTGTTTATCAAAATATTGATGTAGATGATAATTTGCCTTAGAAAAATTGTTTTTCGAACGCGCTTTGAGATAATGAACAAATGGCTAGCATAAAACAGAAAAAAGATCAAGTTATTTAAAAAGAAAATTGTTTGTCTTACTGTTTCTATCAATTGAGGATAGGTTGTTTCAATTGATGTGAGAACATTGGATTCAACACTATCCGGCATTAAACCGGCATCAATTTTTAGTGCCTGGAAAATGGAAGAACATGTACATTTAAGAAATTTAGAGATTTCCTAGTAACATACTAGTTTTGTTAGAAAATGTTCAGCCTGTTTGACAGAAACTGGTATATATATCTGACAAGGAGAACGACTAAGTTTAGTAGAAAAAGTAAGCAATTAAACATTATATATTTATTCTTGTTGTATATTACCTCTCCAGTGTTTGTTTATAACATTCACGAATTGTCATTTTATTTGCTATTGTCATAAGACGAGCAGTAGTAGTACTATCTGTAATATTTTCTAGATTATCGACAGAAGATGGAGTAGGACATTTAAAAACTGTGGTGGTTAATATACACTGATCTTGTGCAGTAATATATTCTCTAACTTCATTAACCAATTGTTCTAGGATAGCTGGTGATATCATTTCAAACGTACAAATATATCGACGAAGAAAAAGACCTAAACAGATAAAAAAAAGTTAACTTTTTATGTAATTATTTAAATCTAGTACATACCAACAAGACTCCATCCCTTAACTTGAAATTGTATTTTTTCATTATTATTCTCGGTAGTACTGTTAGTAGCAGCATTTCGTGGTTGTATAAATTTTGCTAAATCTTGAAATAATTTACATAAATCAGTCATCGTTCCTTGTCCGAGTGATGTAACACTAAAAAAAATCGACTATATAAATTTTAGATGAGAAAAAGTAAATAAGTCAAACTTTTTGCAATATTCTGCAATAATTTCATTATCAGGAATAACTTTGGTTAAATGTTGTATTAAATCAGTTAAATTCCATTCATAACCCTTAAAAGAGGTGAAAAATATCTGTTATAGTTTCAGATGCTATTCGTTGCTGATATATATCTACCCGAGTTAAAAACAATAATAATGAAGATATCAAAGTGTCTGTGGAGGATAAATGGAAAGATGGAACAGACGCTAATTCTTCACCATCCTTCGGTGTATTTGTTATTGTATAACGTTGTTGCTAAACGATAAAATTTGTAAAGAATTATTTGTTTTGACACAAAATAGACTAAATAAAGCACACTAACCAGATGAGTTAATCCGGTACGAAATAAGGTTAGGAGAATGATTTTTCTTGGTGATAAATTTTCGTAAAAACGTGAATAATCAATAAATTGATGCTGATCATCGTTCTGTTGTTGTTGCGGCATTCGATTTGCTCCTGATTGAGCATTTAGATCCATCTATTACCAAAAGAAATACAACTGTCTAATTGAATATGATTTAAAGAAAATTTATGGCATGTCAATGAGATACGTGCTCAAGAAATATGTGTAAATATCTTGTCGCTCCATAGTCTGAAACCATACGGACAATGTATGTTCTGTACAAATAAAACTACCAGTAAAATAGATGAAAGCAGCTTTTCAGCTAGCAGTTTTTTAATCTGAATATGTTTGTACTCTGAAAATACAACTTTTCAAAACGATACTCAAAAAACTTATTTTGAATAAGGATGCAAATAAGTGTTAAAGTTCTTAAAACTGTTAAATCCATCAAACAAAAGTTAGTATCATCTATAAACTATAAAAACTAAACAGTACTACAATACTGAGCAAGATTGCAACAGTTTTACTGTTATTCTTCGAGATAGCTGAACGGATGACCAATGCACTGTAAAAAAAATGGAAAAAGTCTAAAAGAAATAATCTATTGTGTTACATTTTTAGGTAACAAAAAATGGCAAAATCATTTTAACCGTTTGCTGGGCATTTCCGTTACATTTTGCAGAAAAGAAATGAAGAGTTCCAGATACTACTGTTACCCATGTGTCCAAAAATCAAGGGCGACTGCTCATTTCAGATACAACCAAATTCTGGTCCTGATCGAAAGTTCATGAGAAGCACAATAGAAGGAGAATTTCATGAAGTGACCCACTTGTCTTATGATTCTGCAGCACAGTTTCCCAAAAAACCTAAAGAAATCAATAGGGCTGAATCTGTGTATGAATAAGCAGCTTTTATTGTAAATGTTATTTGAAGGTTTCAATTTTAAACTTCCTCGCAGTCAGTACGAAACGTGAACTTTGTTGTTCAATACTGTAAAGAAGCGGCAAAGAAATGCTAGACTAAGACTAAGACGCTCTGGCCAGCCATCTCTGCTACTGGAGTGAAATTCCGTAACGATTTTTTTGCATTTTGTTTTTCTTATAATGTTTGAGTAACGAGACGCCTAGAGATCTAGAATATCACAGATTAAAGAGAAAAGTGTGCTAAAGATTCTGAGATGTTCCTACAGTCTACACATTCTTTCATTCAGAAACTATGAGAAAAATACAAACACCTACTAGTAGGCTTTAATCTGTGATATTCTAGATCTCTAGGTGTCTCGTTACTCAAACATTATAAGAAAAACAAAATGCAAAAAAATCGTTAAGGAATTTCACTCCGGTAGCAGAGATGGCTGGCCAGAGCGCAGACTGTTTTATTCACGAAAAGTGAGAGAGTCATCAAAGGTCACTGACCTGTAATAAATGACTCAAGCCTAGCAACACAAAAAGAGTAATAAAAAAGAACAAAATAAATAAGACAACTAAGGTTAGAACCAGAAATACTAAAAAAAGAACAAATTTTTGAAAAAAATAAAAATAAATAAGCCAAAAAAGAACAAATATAAATTCTTAACTGACAAATGTTTCACTGGAAGAGATACTGGCATAAAGCTATTTTGAAAGAGGTTAAAGAAGAAAGACAAATAACTGACTCTAGGAGATTATTCCAGTCAGCAATAGTTGAATAAAAAAAAGAAGAATGCACCGTTTGCGGAGAAAAACCATCACCTAAGTCTAGACTTAAGTCTTCATTTTGTACATTACGTGTTAATTTTATACACTTAAGTCTGACTTAAGTCTAGACTTAGTTAGGTCGAGCACTTAAGAATTTTCGTGAAACACCCTCCAGCGATTCCTTAAGTTAAGATGCTTTCGAGAAACTCACTTAGCAAAAAAATCTTACTTTAGTCAAATTTTTCACTTAAGAGTGATTGCACGAAAGCGGCGACCTAGCGTGCTCAATTCTTTTTAAAATTTAATTCTGATTTCGCCAGTTTGTAGCCCTACTAAAGTTGAGTATATTCTGAAATTTGCAGCCTTTAGCGAT